CCAATAAAATTACTTCATATGTAAATGACCTAAATGACCTAATGACCCAAATGACCAGGTCATTTACTCAAATGACTCGGTCATTTAAATTTTGAGTAAATGACCTGGTCATTTACCATCCCTGGGGTCACCCACTCACCCGGGTGGTACCCATCTTGGTCCAACCACTAATATCTACGCTATTGTACAATATTATTTAAATTTTAATGGCATTATATAAATTTGTATTATACAGTATATATATTCTACTGCTCCAATGTTCGCCCGTAAATCCATAAGCATTACGTCATTAATAAAATTTTAATCAAAATGTTACGGATATAGGAACCGTGAAATATATCGGATATTCCATGGTGCGACATGACATCATGTATTACAACGGCTTTGCCGTCGATATCCGTGGAATGTCTATTACATGTAGCAATATTTATAAATTTTTTAATAATATATATTTATATTGTATAATTACTATATAGTACAATATAACAAATTTATATAACATGATTTAATTGACTAAAAATTAATTTTTCAATTAGTATAGTTTATATTGACAATATAAATAAAAATATAATATTTTCTATTTTATTAAAATTAACGATTTAGAAAATACAGAATTTAGTATGTTAATTGATTATACCATTACGTTACAGATTACACCAAGCAGGAGGTTAAAAACAATATACATAGCACATTAAAATCAAATATTTCTTAAATTATCGATTTCGATAAAATAAATTATATTTAGAAATATTTGATTTTAATGTTTATCTTTTCCTATAAGATAAAGCTATGGTTTTTGATTTCTTGCATCATATAAATTTATGTATAGCCACTAACAAATTTTGTGTAACAATCACTGTAATTTTTAACGAGGATTATTAATATTATACTGTTTTATAATGAATTGAAAAAAATTTCTTTTGGTTTAAAGTACTTGTTCTGTGGAATAAATTGATAAAAAATTTAATATGTATATGATAAAGAAGATTAATTTAAATTCAATAATTTTTATAATCATTTTATAGGAGACTTTTAAATTTCAAATTGTATCTTCTCTGTAATTGAATTTAAATTTTGCTCAGTTGCTCTGCAGAACTTATATTTTAAATTAAAATAGAATTTTAGAAAAAAAAAATTTCATTTAACTTATTAAAAATGTAATATGTATTTTATTAACGTTTAATCATATACAGATTTAAAAATCGAACATATTACTATAGATAATCGAAGTATTATACGAAAAATTTGTCTGTTCTATGGCTATGTTATGTCCACATCGCGGATAACTAATTTATTCGTCAGTTCCTATTATACTTCTATGCTATTTCTTTCAAATTAAAATTACGTACTTCATAAAGTTTAGCTTTATTACAATCACAAGACTTCTTTCATTGTCAATTTTCTTTGGCTGACAACTTTAACCACCTACCATAATCATCCTAAAAAAATTTCGCTACTATTTCACCAGCCAATCAGATTTCAAAAATCGTTCATAATTCAATATTTTACCTATGAAACTGCTCTAATAAAGAATTATCCTTGCGAAATTTTGGTATTAGTAGAGCGAGCTCTTCTAATCTAACATAATACCAAACCCTAACTTAATTTGACTGTGACGCTAGGATTTAAACAACATTTCACAAATCTACTAATTTAAAAAATTCGTTTACCATTAAAAAAAAAAACAAAAAAAAGATATATCAAAAAAAAATAAAATACCGGACCAGTCGAATCTGAGATCCGAGCAATAAGCGAGAAAAATAAATAATTGATCTACATAGTACAAGCCTATACATGTGTACATTTAATTAAATTTTTTTCCGTGTAACCACCTTAGGGAAGAGCTAACCCTTTTTGTAAATTTTTAAGGAATTAAAAATCAGTAAATATGATAATGATAATTACTAATCGTGAATGATATCACGGTATAGATGTGAAACGATTTTTTACATCGTGATAGAAATAAATGCTCACATTAAAGATAAGCAAAATTTATCATCCTAAAGCAACCTATTATTTTTCTTGGTGCCACTATATTCTATGTAAAGAATTGGCAATTATACCCTTTACAGCTATTACAATCATTTTAACATTTATATCATACAACATTTACAACTGAGCTTTAGTTGTAATCAAGGATTGTAATCCGTAATGCTCATAACTATTATTTACGGAGCAACCTTAGTTATTATCCATTTTAGGGAAATGGCTAAAATGACCATAAAATAATTGCTGATCAAAAGGGGGTAAATTATTTACCTATCTAGCATTTTCTGATACTGTGATCTAGCGTTCTATCGCAGCGCAAAACATCGTTATAATTCGTGATTTTCCCGCTAATAATAATAGTCTTCTTTATTACGGATCCTATGCATATATATTGCTCAATGCATAATTCAATCAATTGCAAGATTTTACACACTTTTAGTTTAATTAAAATAACTTGGTTTCTGATATAATAAATAAATGAATATTTTTAACTATTCAAGACTCAAATTTAGGTCATTTTATTTGCATGGATTTACTTGACAATACATTGAAATACATATAAAAAAAAAACTAAAAAGATCATAAGCTATTGTTTTGCCAAAAATGATTCGTAAAGGCGCGAAAAACTTATACATATTGTATACAGCTAAATTGATAAATCAAATATCTAATACCAACAATTGATAGTTACAACTAGAAAATAAACAGACTTTAAAACAAATATTATAATTTAGGATGATTTATGAATAAGAACGTGGGCTTCTGAGCGTTTTCACCCTTTTCACATTCGGAAAATAAACATTCATCTGGTCTCTTATAAAACTCATAATCTTTAGGATCAAGACTATAATACCTGTTGAAAAGATGGCCCCTAGCGTTTTTGTTAATAAAAATCTTCCCGTGAAAACGTGGATTTTCAGATTCTTGAAGGACGCCCATCTTAGCAATAAGATCATCTTCATTTGCATAATGTTCAATGCATCTAATCAAACCTTTTGGATTTATAAACTCTCTAGAAATATTTGCAAATGTATATACCTCAAGTTTCTTAAGCAACTGTTCGTTGTAATCATCTTGTTCTGAATAGCTCAACTCCCAGTATAATTTTTTTATGACTAAATTTGTAATGACGGATCCCTCAGAATGAGCGACCAATACAACTCTTTTAACATTTTCATCTTTAAGCGCTTTGAAAATATTCCATGAAGCCCAACGTACTGGTATTGTTTCATCATCAAAGCTTCTCGAGACGATAGTTTCAGCTGTATCCCAAATAATACCATAACTGCTATTAAAAATGCCTGTAACACCCCTATTGAAACGATGCTCCAAACGTTTGCAGTTTTCATCTAACCAATGTTTATTTGCCATGACGCCGTTAATAAAAAACCATTTTTCATCATTGTGCTCCTCTACTTCTATCAAAGGATCACGGCTTTCTTCTTCTTTTAATTGCATCTCTCTCATTGGATAGAGAATAATAGCAGGAATCGTGTTGAAAAAACACCATAGCTGAAATAACATACTTTTCCAATTTTCCCAATATGATAAATCGAGCTCATCGCTTCCTCCCTTCGGAATTTTGGAGTTATTGAAACGTATCCCGAAAATACTATTATCGAGTAAAAATTTGATAATATCAAACCAATGAGAAATGAGATAGCAAAGGTCTTGACGAACGTATTTCCAGGGGTTATCCATATGGTCGCCTGCCACCATACAGAACGCATTATAACAATTCTTGTCTACTTTTGTAGCGTTTGGCATATTACGTGAATCGTCAGTTTTTGGCAACTTGGTATATAAATTTTCAGATTTTGACATTTTTTATCTTTACGTCAAGTTTATCTTTCAATAATATGAATTGAAATTTTTTTCGTTCAAAGAATTTGAATATTTTCTTTCATTTTGAATTCACATTTTTATATTATTTTATGGTCTTACAAATTTTTACAAATTAGTATAGATTGTTTCATTTTATTACGTAAAAAAAAATACTGCAATATTATTTAATTTACTCTTCAGATTAATATTGTTTGGTCACCAAACTTAATTCAAATAGAATGATATTACATATCGCATAAAATATGGTGTACGTTATGAAAGGGCAAGATCAACCATCTAGAAAAATTATGTAAGATGGTGGTACAAATTCTTGAAATCGCCGGTATCTGGATAATTCTTGGTATCTGGGGGATAAAGGGAATAAGAGATAATTCAAAGAATAATTAGTATAACGCGAATAAATAAGAATTCAGAGTATTCCGTCATATGTAAAATTAAATATATAAAGAGAGTTTCCTCCCGCAATAAAGATAACTCAGCTGGAGTTCAAACTCATAACTCAGAGTTCAAAATTGGAAAGGTGTTCGCTCTACTCATACCTCCGGTAAGTCAAATTCATATAGAGGCTTAATAGCCTAATCCGTGATTCCGAATCAGAGCTTCATGACGTAGTATAGAGCTCTAATTTAACACCCTAACGCTAATTATTCGGACCAAATCACACCACGCCTTGATCGTAACCTGCCACTATTAGTGTTTAGGTTAGATAGTGGTTTAGTGTATTGTTTTAGGTAGTATTAGTGTTGGTTGATAATCATATTATCCATATTCCTGATTCCGGAGCAGTTTCCACTTTTGCAACGTTCGCAAAACCTCACAACTGATTGGACCATATAAGCGTACTAACTTGTATATTTTATCGCTTTAACAGATTTTTATCTCGATTAAAGTGAATGACGTCTTTTCATTATCGTTGACTCGGAATTGTACTAACCGAATATGATTTGTCATTTTAGAATTTAATAGGCTGAAATTGGTCCACATGACTTTTCATAATAATGCTGTAATGTCGCATAAAAGTTTTTGTTGATCATTTAGTGTTGGGGTTTAAATGTGCTACTACTACGTACGTACTGGGGTATACGGTATACGTACTATGTAAATCAAAACTATATGTGGTCATATAATAAAATAATAAAATTTATTAATGATTTTTAGATGGGGTTATAGTAATAATTATTAAAATTTTTTAAATAGATGCACACCCTAACGGTCGATAGTTTTGCAAAAACCAGTATTATGTCACTACAAACAAAGTTACAGAATATATAATTTCTTTTATTTAAATATGAAAAAATTTAATCCTCTATAATCACGCGGTTTATTTTACATAATAAAAAATGGGATTATAAAATTTTAATAATAATGTTAAAAATGTGCTTCTTATAAAGAGGGGTGATACTATATAAGAGGTGACTGTAGAGGAGGGCGAGTGATTTTTTTTCTAATAAAAAAAAATTAGGCAAGAAAGAACCAATTTTAAAGAATTGGCTCTATAACTTTATTTGTAGAGATATAAACCAGTCTTTGCAAAATTTTATCCAAATCTAGGGTTGTGCATTTAAAAATGTCTAAATTTATTTCATCTATCTAAAAATCTTCATTAATATATGACCACATATAGTTTTGATTTATATAATATACTGTGTAACCTAATGTGTACGTAAACTAGGTTAACAGGAACTGTTGTGAGTCCGAAGCCTAATTAATTAATTATCGGCCAATAAGAATAATATCACGTGGCTGTCAAAAGGTCTAGTATGGGTAAGTCTCCGGACACATAACTACTCCAAGAGCACCACCAAAAATTTTCGGATACACAAAACTTTGACCAATAAAATTAAATTTTAATACTTTTTTACAACTTCAAACAAAGATATCTTAATTAGGGATGGGTACGGTTACGGTCATAACCATTGTGACCGGTCAGAGCGGTTTAACCAATGCCAGAATCTGGAACACCTGATAAAAATTTGCCGGCCATTTCGCTAAAATCCGAGATTTTGAAATGAACCTGTGCTGGTAGGGCAAGAAAATCCCGAGCTGAAGATCACTGTAGATCTGATTCCGGAGTCCAAATATTCTTCCTGGACTCAATGACATGGCCGGGTTATGAGAACCAAAAAATCAATTTTGCCTGGCCTTAGTAAAATTAAAATAAAAAAATTTTAACAGATATTGGATAGGTAGATACCGAGATATCTTCGTTCAAAGTTTGAAAAAGTTAAGGCGATTAACAAAGACCGGCTAAGTTTTTTCAAACTTTGAACGAGAATATCTCAGTACTACCTATCCAAAATTGATGAAATTTTTTTATTTTAATTCTACTAATTCAAAGAAAAATTTCATCGATTTTGAATAGGCAATCACTGAGATATCCTCGTTCAAAGTTTGAAAAAACTTTGCCGCTGTATTGATAATCACCTTAACTTTTCCAAACTTTGAACGAGGACATCTCAGTAACTACCTATCCAAAATTGATGAAATTTTTTTATTTAATTTTACTAATTCATGGAATTAAAATATAAAAATTCGTAGATTTTAAATAGGTAATCACTGAGATATCCTCGTTCAAAGTTAGAAAAAATAGAAAAAAGATTAACCGCAGTCTTTTGATAATCGCTTAACTTTTCAAATTTTGAACGAGGATATTTTAGTAACTACCTATCCAAAATCGACAAAATTTTTTTATCTTAATTCTACTAATCAATAGGATTAAAATAAATAAAAAAATTATCGATTTCGAATAGGTAATCACTGAGATATCCTCGTTCAAGGTTTGGAAAAAAGACGTTTTTTGATAATCGCAATTTTTTCAATCTTTAAATGAGGATATCTCAGTGATTACCTATCCAAATCGACGAAATTTTTATTTTAATTCTACTAATTAATAGAATCAAATAAAAATTTTCATCGATTTTGAGTGGGTAATTACTGATATATCCTCGTTCAAAGTTTGGAAAAAATTAAAGCGATTATCAAAAAGCATTTTTTCCCAAACTTTGAACGAGGATATCTCGGTAATTACCTGTTCAAAATCGATGGAATTTTTTTTATTTGAATTAGTAGAATTAAAATAAAAAAAAATTCATTGATCTTGGATAAGTAGTTACTGAGATATCCTCGTTCAAATTTTGAAAATAACTTAGCCAAAGTCTTGTTTTGATAATCGCCTTAGCTTTCAAATTTTGAATGAGGAGGATATCTCAGTAAATACTTATTCAAATCGAATTTTTTTTTATTTTAATTCTACTAATTCATAGAATTAAAAAAAAACCCCTTTAATCGATTTGAAAACGTAATCTTCGCTCAAAGACTTAGCCGCAGTCTGTTTTGATAATCGCCCTAACTTTTTTCCAAACTTTAAATAAGGATATCTCGGTAATTACCTATCCAAATTCAACGAAAATTCTTTCATTTTTAATTCTACTTATTCATAGAATTAATATAAAATTTTTCGTTGATTTTGTATAGGTAATTATTGAGATTTCTTTGGTCAAAGTTCAAAAAAAAAGTTGTCTGAAAATGATCCACGACACGTGACCAGGCACTTTTTTTTCGCCATGGCTAGGGTTTTATTATTAGGGTCTATGACAGCAAAGTTTTCGGATTGTTTTTAAAGGGTGTTCGAAGGGTGTTCACTTTTATTAGTGAAAAATCGTACGACATAAATCGTTAGAAACTTTAGATCCTTGCAGTATAATGATAGGCGGGGAGTATAAGTAACAAACTCCGCTAATGAATAGTAATCTTATGTTATATTATCATAATAGATGGAGATTCTGAGAATCTTTCCTCCATTCTTTTGAAAAAGTTTAGATCATAAATATAAATAACTGATAAGGTATGCAAGCACGTACATATATACGTACTGTTTAAACGTTATTTTTAACAAAATAATTTTTTTACCAAATTTGGGGACAATAACAAAGTTTAGTAGTACGTATAAAATCTCATGATAATACGACAATGAACATACTTATTTGAATTCTGTAAAGTCCATTAATGCAATCAATAAAAAATGGTATGAACTTGAACAGGGTTGACAAATCAGGCATTTGTATCCTTAAGTGTTACTTCTCCGTCTCCGTTGAACTCTAATACGTAATCATGAACATTTTTGTATATTTTTATTTTTGCAAAATATAAGTTCTATATCAAATACCGATAATTAGAAATATCAAATAATAATTGAGAAAATCTTGCATATACATTTGATAGACATTTGTTCTAGACCTGAATCTACGGTACGAATGCAATTATGTCCAATTCACTTCTTAATTCTAATTTTCACACAAAACTCCTATTTTTCAGCTTCTCTTTGTTCTTAAAATATGATTGATACACAAGACTTGATATATATAAACGAAGAGCCGAATGCAGTTCTTTATTATCTCATCCACCAACTAAACTCTTCCTGTGTTCTATTCTATTTTTTTACTGCATGATACTTCACTTATCAATTTAATAGATAGGCAATACTGTCGGATATAAAACTGTGGCTCAAAAGTGAATTATTGAATTTTTAGGACCAATGATGTTGTGAAATCGGAAACGTGACCTGGTGTCTGGCACGTTACCCAGTGAATTATAAATTTGTGTTTACCGGCCGAATTTTGGGAATTCGTTCGCCAGATTCGCCAGACTTGGCGAATAGGTCCAATTGAAAGAAAAGAGAAAAAATGGAGGATAATAATAATTATAGCAATAAGAGTAATTCCAGTTATAAAGCTTGTTGTATCATGTAATACTAATTATAAATACTGAAATAAAGGCCTTCTAGCCCTTCGAGAGAATAACTAGTACCTGCTTTACCTAAATAATAAAGTACCTAAGTCACATACATTTATTATAAACTACATTCGTTCATTTAACTGCTCGCCAAATCTAACACGCCTCTTTCGTACAGTGTTAAAGATTTAATGTTCCCAATGTTCCCGGGAACATTTAAAAAAATTAGACTTTATGTTCCTTATTAA